GGCGGTTACCGATGACCATCAAGCTTCTCGCGTACGTAAATGCTTATTTGTTATTTACACTTACTATTTAGGCTGTGGAAATAATTGGCGACGGGCAGAAAAATAAAGATGTTATATATTGTAGTTAAATGGAGGGACACACAAATAATCATGTATGTTTTAAATAATTAAATTAAAAAATATAGGTTGAGGTAGAAGATATTAATGAGCAACGCTGCTGTCCGCGAGAAACATATCGATATCGCCAAGATCAAATTACATTTCATTTTTCGTTTGCAATATCATATATTTGTGCGATTTATTATTACATTCGAGTTCAATATACTATTATTCTTTTTAACCTTTTGCATTCCAAATTCCTTTTATTCCATTACATTTCCTTTTCGACAGTTTTGTATTATTTCAAGTGTTTTATTTGGAACGTATTCCGGAAGACAGTTAGTTGATAAGAAACAGTGTAACAAACTTTTTACTAATACTATTGAAAATGGTATTATGCTAATAATATAATTTAAAAATGTCTTGACAAAGAAACACGCGTTTGAGTAAATCTAATGTCGAGTCACATTCGATATAAGAATGCAAAGAGTTAATATAATAGAATCGATATGATGGCGCAGTCGAAAATTTTACTGAAAATATACTCGGTAAATATGTTAACAACACAAGAATCAGCCATTAACAATAAATACACAAGAACATTCACAGCTGTTGTCCAGTAAACACTAGAACTACCGTATCCGTCAAGATGACTGGTCTTGGTTTTCTTCATTCTCAAATATTGACATCTTAAAAGCATTGAATATTCGAAATGATTTTGAAAATAAATAATTTCACTTGAATACTATAACGAATGTCTGAAGAAACTGAAAATAATCTATTTTTACAATTTGTATAGGGATTACTTATTAATCAGATTAAATAGTCGGTAATTCTGTTGTGTTAACAGCACAGCACCAGCACAGGAATCATCAGCTCTGATGAGCTTGTTTTATAAAAATAACGTAATAGAAGTTTCAGATCAAATTGAACACTCGATCGTCACATGATCGTCTACATTCGAGTTGCTTTGAATCGATAAGGATAACTGTCCATCCAGGAGTATCCTATTGTTTCCACTGTTGGCTAACTGCTCGCCTAATTTGAGACATCTTGTTTTTTTGAATGTTCTACTGACTTTAGCCTGTGTTTGCCTTCGTACAAACATTAGAGCCTACTTTACCGATTAGGAATATCAATAAAAGCAACCACATTGCACCTTGAGGAAGTCACATTTTCTTGATTCAAAAGATCTACAGTTTTCAAAAGAAATGTGTAACTGCAATTTTAAAAACTTTTCGTAGTAAAAACGAAGCTCAGTCTGAATATATAGCGTTCGTACGAGTTACTGAAGGTTAAAGGTTCCGTTACGAACTCAGTAGAGAAACGAATTTATTTTCAAAATAAACATATTTTCTTATTTTTTTATGTTTATTATTTATTTTGTGTTAACTCATTGCCCTACGATTTATTTCTTAACTATAGTCGATACGACTTTATCGTTAATAGTGTATTAGGAAAAGAAACAAATGTCGATGTTTATTCTATGTCTACTCCAAAGGTTAATGATCGATAATAGAAAAATAATATTTAATTTATATTTAAAAAATAAATAACATTTAGATATCTCAAATTCAGTTTAAACTTTTCGCCACGAATCTGACACGGTATTGTAGGTCAAGGGGTTAATTATTAACTACCCATAGTTAGGTTTACAGTTTGCTGTAAGTATAGACTAGTGTGTTTTAGATACTGTAATAGATTTAGATCGATTTCATATTTTTTAGGTTATCACTAGGGATGGGGGAGGAGCTTATGTTGAATCGACGTTCGTTTGTAATGTATCTTTTGTAGCAGACGATAATACAGGGTATCTCACTTTAATCTATAAATGCAATTATTTCTGGAACTATTCATTACTTAAAAACTCTCTTTAATGCAATTTTTCTGTTTTGATACATTTTGTAGGTGGAAAGATTAACACTTTTTCGTAGAGATGACCTGCTTCGTCAGTGGATGCAAAAAATTGCGTGATTATACTTAAAAAAAATAGTAATTCCCTTTATAACTCCTACACATGTCAATTTAGAGACAAATTAAGTGTACCAAATTACTGCCCCCTCTAAACAGAGAAACTGTATTTGAAACATTTTTTAAATAACTAATAGTTCCGGGGATAATTGGATTTACAGGTCAAAATCGGACACCTTGCATGTAGGGGAGAGTAGGATAAAATGGAACCGATGGTTAAAATGGAACACCAATGTTTTTCGTAAATAAGGAGCTCGCATATACCTCACAAGTTGCTGTTGCATAACATAGATCTAATAAGTCCTCGGTATATTTTGTCATCGCCTGTAGATCAGTGCACACGTGCTACCTACGAAAATGCTGTTCCGTTTTACTCTGCTCCCCTCTACTATTGTCAGATGGGCTTTATATAGATTACAGGATGATACAATTCCTTTGAAGATGTTAATTTAGGCGGTACCAATAATTTTTTTAAATGATGGTAATAAATACATTATTACACAGATTCAAGTTTCATTTTCTCCAGACCTTCGCCACTACGTCAACAACGCCAATAGCGATCCTCGATTTACCGCAACCGTAATTCGACTTTTGCCGTTCCGGCCGATAATTCGACCGGTTCCGCCGTTCGACCGCCTCTTTACGCACAAATCGACCGACGATGAACAAGAAGCATAATCCAACGAGTGCTCCCAGCGCGGCGCTATCCTGGTATTGTAACGCTTTACCGTGGCACCACTACCAGCTCGTTAACGCATCATCGTCGTCATAACGAGCTCGTATCGTCATTACGTTCACTGAATCGAGTGCCACGAATCGCTTCACCGTTCGATCCCTCAGTAATCCTGGATGAGCGTTTAGAAGGGCAATAACCAAGAATAATTACGCACCCCCGTTGACTTCTGAGCCTGATTATCTAACGCATGAAATATTTTAGTCGCGGGGGTGCCTGCTTACACCCCGCTCGGTTTGGTGGTAGCAAATCGAACGGATTTGATGGCATGTATCGGACTGGTTTGATATCCGAGAATACTTCTATATGTATTGCGATATTAGAGAGGTTAGTGAACTTGGTAGATTGAATAGAGGATGCTTCAGAATCGTTTGCAATGTTCTGATTGGGGGCTGCTAGTTTGAATTATGAAAGTGCGTTCAAGGAATTTTAATGTAGGTTTGGAACACTCATCGTAATGGAATATATTAAGGAAAGTCTGATGAAAGTAGTTACAATTTTAACTTGTTTTCACGAATATTGTAGAATGTTTTCGGTAATATTCTATATAAGCGAGTATGCAAAAATTACGTTGTGCAATATAAATAGTTAATTTGAATTTTGGTTCATTATTTTATAATGTAATATACTGAATGGCTAAACTATTCGTTCATGGATATTCCTTACTGTCGAATAATATAACTTTTATCAATTTTCTTTCAGGGTATTGGAAACTATGCAATTATTCATATAATTACGATTTGTTATGAAATTATGAATTTCAATTAAAATTCATTATCAGGTTTCAGGATGTAAATTTGATTTCATTACAGTTGAATATTAATTTAAATGTACAAACCCGGTGTTATAAAATTATTCGTTTATCGTTTGAAACTATTTCCATAATTTCCTCATTGCACGGATACTTCTGTCTGTCACTGCGTAACTAACAGATTTAGTGGTAACAGTAAAATAAATGGATGATGTTACGTGGTGCGGACTAATTTAATGTTCACAAATAACTGTGTACACATTGTAGCAGTAACAGAGCATTGAGATAATACAGGATATACTTTAGATTCGTACAAAATAGTTAAAACCTATGGAGGATTCCTAACCTGCTTTCTAGAGTTATTTTATAGATCATAATTTAGTTTTCTCAATAAATAAATATCTAATGCTTTTATGTATAATACAAAATGCTTTTGGAATAATTATGTTACAAAACAAAAGCTAAATGTCTAAATAATAATTACACTTAATTATCTTACTTAATAACTACCTATTATCTTAATAACTTGTACACATTATCTTCTTCCCACTTTAAACTTTTCCAATCTGCTATTTATAAAACATAAATTGGAATGTACGTCAACACGGTTCTTTAGTACTACGACCACCAATTAGTAAACTACTAACACGATTAGTTCCCTGACATTCACTAATAAAACAGTACATACATCAGATAAGAAACATCATTAGGAACTTAACACTAAAACTACCGAGCAGTTAAATTGACTTTTTAAAATTTCTCTGTAGAAACTCCAACAGTGCACCTGTTGAAAATTTAATTGATTTACAATTCAGTTTGCATATTGCTAAATCAATTCCTTTAATAATTTCCCAGAGAAACAGTTGTTATCTTTTTAATAATCGCAAAAAAAGAAATTAGGAATGGGTCATTTTGACCCGTCTGGTAGTTTTAGTGTTAAAAACTAACCACCGAAAATAAATCCCCAATTGTCATCTAAATTCCAAAAACTCGCACTCAATACCCCCGCTCGATGAAAAACAGTAAAAACAATACGAAACGAAACTAACAATTCAGCATCCCGTATTAGATGTTAACCTTGACCCTCGTAGAGTACAATCAACAAGAAACGCAGCGTTCCGCGCGAAGTCGTTCAACGTGACCACCTTCATCGTCGGTATTCATGATATCCATGAGGGTCGGGGTTATCTTGATTTCGAAGTAGGATTTCGAGAGGGTGGATGCAGGTAAACAAACAACGGTCCTCGCGATGCACGGCGCGGCGGCGATGCAGACGCGACGAAGGTAACGAAAGCGTCGCGAAAAAACGGACAGAGACAGCGCAGGGAGGCAGGAGAGAAAAGCCCCCGGGGTGGCTGGTGCGCGGGCGCGGCTTGCCTTTGCGGGTCAGAGTGCGCCGGGTATATAACCGGGCGGATGCCAGCGTCCTTTAGTCTTGCGCTTATCGTCGTAGCGACGATCCGCTCGAACTCGATCGCCGCGTGGTCGCACGCTCGCGATCTTATTTTCCATTGACAGGTGCGTTTAGTGATGCGCGTAGTGTGTTTCTTCTAGGCTAAATCCTATTCTTCAAGCTTCCCGTGGTATCGCGGCGGATTTCATCGATCGGTCGTTCGTGTATCGCGATCTCTATCGACCGCCAGTGACCTCAAGAAACTTTGGAGATCATCGGTCTTGGAAATAATCGAAACTCCCATCGTACATTTGCCATCGATCTTACCCTGAGGATCCGGTCGCCGCCCCGCGCGGTCTAAGCCGACAGTGCGTCAACCCGCAGTGTGACCGTGTAACTGGCGTGTAAACACTTCGTTAAGGGGTGGTAAAAGTGTCGTAGGGTGCTAACGAGACGGCGCCCAGACGCGCGTCTACTGGCGTTCGTTCACGCGTCAACGAGCCTCCCCTCGGTGCAGAGCGCGAACACGGAGTGCCGGTGCCGCTCGGTGTCGTTCGTTCGGTTCGTTGGGGATATCGCGAAACGGAAGAGGCTCTTCAAGTCGGGGAGATTCGATTCTGCAGGAAAGTTACGGAGGAGGCGAACGGATACGAGGAGGAATAAGTGAAGGCGCATTAGGGGATCGGAGCGGACGGAAGGGAAGAGCAGCGGAAGAAAGGCGAAGCAACGAGAAAACGCTACGGGGAAACCGAAGCTGCGCCTCCGGCTAGATAGGACCACCTCTATAGATCTATATGCACGGTAAAGTCGCGGCGATAGAGGAGAGCCCCGGCCACTACGACGTGTATCTGGGTCATACACCCGTCCTCTCTAGTTGTAGCCGCTGTCGTTGTTCGTTTTCCATAATTTCGCGAGATTAGTTGGCAAAAACCGCTGGGAAACGTCCGCAGACCGTGAGACCAAGTGCTCGCAGTCCGTAATTAAAACGTACGTAAACAAAGGGGACTGTGAGCGTTGAGGATCCAGAGTGTCGATATCCATCCGCGATGTTATCCGCTAGAGGAGGAAAAAGAACGAAGATTGTTCTGGAGTTCCGTTAAGCGAAACATGCAATTATACCGAGTCCTTCCGCTTGTTATCGATGGAAACATCGTAGTGTCCGGATTAGTGATGCGGTAGACTCGGACGAGTATCGATACTTAACGCGAGGATCTCCGACGGAAGGGTGCATCCGGCTCGTTTCCGCCAGTGCAGTTTTTTCAAGGATTCCGAACTCAGCAGTTGACAAGCGAGGTCCTGTTCATCGCTCCTTAATGACGCTGACTCTCCACACCTTTACGCTCGGTGGAATTATCATCAGCCCGGTTGCTATCAAACAGGTCGCTAAATTGTTTGCGTAGGTCGGTGACGCGTCGTCCGGCAACCCGATACCAGTGACCGTAACGAGCTGTTACGTCGTTACACGCGGTGCCGAGACAGGAAACAAAAAAAAGAGGGCCGGGAAACAGCAGAGAGAGGCTGCTCTGTCTCTCCCCCGGGGACAATCCCGGCCAAACAAGCACCACGCGAGAACTATTATCCGCGGAAGAGCAATCGCCTCGGCCGCGAGGGCTGGTTTCTCTTTGGAGAACGGCCGCACACGCTGGATAGAGTCCGGGGGTTGGTAAATAATGAACCGCCGCAGTCATTTGTCATGCTCACCGCGAGGCCAACGAATGCTCGAAGTAGCCTGGATCAAGTAAATGGAAGAGTGCAACACGGTCATTGTAACGGAAAGCTGGTAACGTTCTTCGGTGCTCGGTGCTCGGTGCGTCGTGATTCAGCTGTCCCGTGGTCAGTCAAGATTGCTCTCGAGGAATCCTCGAGATTATACTCGCGGATAGATGGTTAGAGGATAAAGAGGTCCAAACTGGCGCTTCGATCTACGTGGAAAAAGCAATCGATGTCGCCGCGGTCATTGAAATGCGATCAACGATTGTGTCGCGGGACGGTCAGCCAGACCGGGCCGGTTGTCCGAGCAGGCTTTATCGACGCGACAGATAGCGGCGTATGAAAGCGTGCTGCGTAGCTCCATGAGAGTGATTATACCCGAGGATCGCGGCAGAACGTTTATCCCTTTTGTGTGGCCGTGCCGGTGTTGCAGCACGTGGTAGTTAGTGAATCATGAGACGACGCAACAACGGTTCGAGCAACGCCGGTTGTTGCTTCCAGTCGAGCAGGAGGGCGGGTCGCAACGGATGCAACGACGCGGAGGGAAACGAACTGCCCGGATGGTGCATTTACGCGACGGTCGCCGTGGTCGCCGTCGGGTGCTACTTGAACGCGTTAGGCGGTGACTTCGTGCACGACGATATACCGGCGGTCGTCAGGAACAAAGACGTGCTCGCCCAGACACCCTGGACCAGCGTGTTCAAGGACGATTTTTGGGGCACCCCGATGCACGACATCAACAGCCACAAGAGCTACAGACCGCTGACCACGTTGACATTCCGGTGAGCGACGAACGATTTTATTTCCTACCATTTCAATTCCGTTCTACCCGCGGTCCATCTTGATTTCCGGGTTTGATACGGTTTCGCGAAGAGGTCCATTGTGGGTTGGATATAAATTTTTGCCCGGAAACTTTTTTAAGGAAAAAGTTTCACTTTTACTGGCGGATTTATGGCTTCCTAACGCCGCTACGAAATGGACGATTAATATAGCAGCCATTTAAAGTTTCTGTTTTTCCTGCTATAGGGACTGGTGATGTTTCTTTTTGGTGAACATATTTTTTGTTCAGTATTCGAAATTGTTGATAGTTACTTGGAATTGAATTGTTCATTAGTGATTTTGTGCATTCGGAGAATTTTCTTCAGCGAAGTCTGTTCGTGCGAAAGTTTCGTTATTGGATAAGCAAGTTTGATAATGGGCTAAGAACATTGAGAACTAGAGAATTTCAACATGTCCGACTGTCACTCATGGGTTGAGTTAGGTACAACGTTATGAATATTAATATTCACGTAATCCGATTTCGTAACCTGACAGACCCGATGATGAAAATATCTCCGCAAGATCTATCCGAGATCTATCCAACAGTTCATATTTCCAAGTAGACTCAGACAACAGTGCATTGAAAGCTATTTCCCATCGAGTTCTCGAATAATGGAGCTTCGTGAAAATACGATTTACACGAGTCTAATGTTTCGGAAGAATGTTGACGTACCTTTAACAACTGAACAACAGCTGAATAAATTAATTACATATAATCATTCGATGACTTTATTTGCCGGTTCGCGTACAGCGAGTACGTTTGAATAGATTTTTATTTATTCAAGAGCGCCGCTTTATACGACTGGTATGTCGAAGCGAAGTCGTAGGGGTCGTGAGCGGGGGAAATATGATGTCAATGGAAGTCTTCGCAAGTATGAGCGTGGCAATCAGCGGTGGTATTATTAAAACGAATTCGCTGCACGGCCACAATTAGTAAACATGGTGCGGGCCGCAATTAAAGCTGCGAATTCAAAATAAACTGGAATAAGCGCGGCCGTTCCGTCGGGTTATCGCGAATGGAATAATTACACGTCGCGTTTTTGTTGTGCACGGTTGGTCGCGCGAGCCACGGTTAAAAGCGTGATTGCGTGAAGGCGAGCTCGTACGACACCTCGGGAAGAAATTCCGCGATCTCGATCGCCGCCCGAGCAAACTGTTATCTCGCGCATTTCAAATGAACCACACGTAACGCATCGTTACGGGAACGCTACGGCCTGATCTCCTATCCAATTACGCGCAACAATAGTACCGAACGTATCTAACTTACCCCGCTTAATCCTACGCGTGCACTTACATTGTTATTACGAAGCGCGTCTAACGGGTAACACGACTTTCGAGGAAGTTTTAGTTCGATACGGTCAGTATTTAATCTAATCGTGTGTAATACTATTAAATTACCTGTAACAATATAGCTTAGGCAAGGGAGCTTGATAAAGAAATAAATTATAACCGCAGAATTAAGTTTCTTAATGTCGGGGTTTATTCTCGAAAATTTCGAAAATTTGTTAGTTGTAGCTGGCACTGAATCAAATTCAGTTCTTGTAGCACCTTGGTGTGGTTTTTATAGAACCCCGTATGATGTTTATAATTCCTGTTTTCTCCAGTTGTAAAATTTTCAGCCCCAATAGTACAAGTTACTAAGTAATGATGATAATAATAACAGTGGGACATTAATAATATCACAATCCAGCAACACAGATTTTAGAAAATTGTTCTTTATTTAGTAGTAACTCGAAAGTATTACACTTTAAAGCATTTATCTATTGGTACGTATGACGTGCAGAATTGTAAGAATGCTTGTTAAGTATTTTTGCAATCCTTGGTGGGGAATGGAAGATTGTTGATAAAATTGGCTTGGAGTGCCCTAAGCCATTTGTCGAAGATTTTATTCGTGAGAACTCGCGATGAACTTATTAAACACTTATTCAACTAAATAATTATTAAAAGTTGAAGAACAGGTAGAAGTTGCTAATTCTTTTAAAATCATTATCAGGTTATATCTAGACAAATTTTCAATCAAAATTACGCCAGAGTCTAGGGAAGTACTTTGGGAAAGTTTAATCAAAGCTGAAAAAGTGTTCTACTCGGAGTTTTTAATGCAATTTAAAAGAAATGTACAAAAAAGAAACTAAAATTTATAACAAATAATACTTATTTCCAGAAATATGCTTCGTTGAAAATGATATAATATACACATTTTTATTGTCTAGAAACATTACTCTATTTGGAAGATACATACCAAACGCTTAATTTTATTGTCATGAATAAGACCAATAACATATGATTGCTACTGCTCGTCTAACGTTATATACAAAGATGCCTATGAATTATTAGATAACTAGAAAAGTCCGAGAAATCTCCCAGATTTAACGAACCGACACTTTATAATAACTTATTTCTACCATAACTAGTCAAATAATTGGTTATAAAATAAAAGTAAACAAAATAGATGATAAATTTTTCTTAATGGGAACATAAACAAGACGAAAGACAAAAACTGAAAAACCGACAATATTAGGTTAATATAAGGTTAAATGGTCAAAAGAAAATGTGGAATTTTAAATGAATCTTTAATACCGGTCATTTGACCAGTCGCGGTACGTTTAATGTTAAAGAAATATAACCTTTTATAAAAACGGAATATTCCACCATAATTCTCTGTTGGAGGAGGTAGTAAATTGTGAAGCTAATTATTTTCATGAATAAAACGTTTCATTTTAGATAAATTTTTATATATGTTTATTTCTTATTCTGAAAAACTACACTAAGTTCCTTGGTAATCTAATGTATTATCGTCAATACGAGATTTAACTTTTTCATTTTTGTTCTGTTGTGCGTCGCTGAGAAACGAGTTACCAGGAAAGACGCGACTCAGTCTAATCGGGTCAGAAAATAGTATCATTCTCGAATCGTCCACTTTATCTCCACAATTTTCTCTTTCGCCTGAAACGAATTGCGCTCTTGGAATTGTTCAGTCGCTGTGCGCTCTAACCGACATATCGATGGAACGTACTCGTATGAAATCTCCGACGAGCAATTTCTCGTTCGGTGTGGGGTATTTCATTTCAAAATACTGTAAAATCTCGGTTATACAAATCTTGGCTCTGTCCAAGCTCTAGATTGTCCAAACCAGTAATGTATCATTTTTCATTTGCTCTTTTGCCACGTTTACATTTTATTTCTGAAACGATCTTGTTTCTAATTAGTTGGAATAATCGGGGTCTATTATAGAATAATGTATACTGTAGTCTGATTACAGAGAAAGATCGACAAGTAACGGTTACTTTCTGTATTTCATTTAAACAAAACAAATGAATCAGTCTACTATCGCACCTTACATTAATAGTTACTACAAAACTGTTATTAAGTTATGATTGGACTGTGGATTTTATGCAGTTATAATAAATGCGAATGTACAAAATATAAGGTAGAGAAATGTTTATTAGAATTTAAGTATTTTCATTTTCAACTTATTCAAATTTTTTAGAGAAGAATTTACTTCTTAATTAAACTTAATTTTTTTTAAATTATTTCGATAAACTTTTATTTTGCGTAAAAATCGGTAACTTAATTGTATTTAATTGTAAGTTATGCTTGTATGTGAATGTAATTGAACGAACCAAAACTTACTCTATACAGTGTTGTTCCTTAAATCGTAGTTGAACACAGACAAAAGTGAATCTACATCTAAAAAAGGTTAAAAACATACAATGAAATTTTCTTACATGAGATTTCATTCCCAAAAGAATCGACTTTGAGTGTGCGTCTAACATGCATTTACAACTATTTGAGCCGTTCATCTGCCAAACTGATTGACTCTGTAAAATGAAAAGTAGACTTGATGAATTTTATATACATAAAGAACGCGTTAAAAGTTTTGGTACTAGTATTTGAAAATATTCAAAGTGTGGAGGTAGTTACTTTCATCAGTGAACAATTTATTCATAGAAGTAGGAATTCAGATGAACTTTCAAACGTTATTATTTCGAAGACGAAGGGTCATGTGGAAAAAATTGTATTTTATACTTTTTACTTATTGTTAGCGTCTTATATACAACACTTAGCTGAAGAGTATTGAACTTTTGCCTGTACCTCGAAAACGAATGTAACTATCGATGCAAAGTAAACGAAAGGAAAAGGAATGTATGATTCGTTAACTATGAAATCTATATGTTTTCGTACATAATCGGCGATATGTTAATTCAGATAGAGAAAGTCACCTTGATTTCATTGTGCATTTGGAAATAAATACCTTTCTGTGTCTTCTTTAATTCTGGAAGAAATGAAAACTGGAAGGAGCCAGACCTAAACTATAAGGTGAATACAAATTAACCTCCAAATTCACCCTCGCAAGGGTATCTTGATGAGTTCTTGCATGACTGTTCGTGATTGCGTCAAGCAAACTTATCGAGATTTGGCACGTTTATAAAGGAGAGCTATAGCTACATACAGAATCTTCACTCAAATCCGTATTTCGGATTCCAAAATTCCAAGTTTCGTTTCTTAAATTATTACTCTACATGTCAGAAAGTGAACATAACATAAAAATCAAGATAAATGACTATATGGAAAAATAGACTGTCACATATTTCAGTTACACAACTTATCGATTTTCTACAAAAATCGATTGCCTATTAGCAAAGAGAAAAAGAGAAAGACTCCCTTCAATATTGTATTTTTAAAAATAATAAATTACGTTTACTTTCATTTTTCAACTGGAAAGAAAGACCTGTGTTACCAGCTACCTGTCCAGTCGCTACAACGAGCAGCACTTTGTTTTTCCGCCGTCATTTAAGATTTATGAAGTGTCACGTAGACTCTTCTTCTAGACACCCATTCAATTCTGCCCCCGTTGGTAGCACGGTTTCGGAGACACTCTGTATAATCGGTCCGCCTGGCCGGAACGCAGATTGGAAAATAGCGAACGCAATGTAGTCGGACAGCGCTGTATGGTTGGCGTAGT